ATGCTGATCAAATCCAACCTCTTTCCTTGGAAAGATACAAGGAAGAAATTAAATCATTGCAGATGGAACTAGAAAGTTTAAAATCCAAAAACACAAAAGCTCATGATTTTTCAGAGACCACCAATTTTGAAAAAGAGTCTGTGCAAATGGAAGAAAAGGTTGTTGTCGTCGATGAAGATAAAAGTGTAATCCCACCAGTTGATGTAGAATCAAAAGTTGTGGAAAAGGAAGAAGATCAGTCTCTGGCTGCTCAAAGTTTTCATGATAACACAGTTGAACAGAAGGAAGTTTCACATGAGGTCTCTGTTGGTGTTTTAAGTGATAGTAGTACCTTGGTGAATGGTGATAACGTCTCCAAACAAAATGATGAACCATCATTAGACCGCAGCCTACATCTAACGTCAGAGAATCTTAGTCCTGAAAATGTTTCCGAGAAAAGGGCAAGTTTCTTTTACATTTCTTTTATTGCATCAATGCCTTTATAGGAGGACCGGATCAGACATGTTTTTCTTTTTCCAGGGTTGGCTCTTCTTTTGATATCTACCCTGGCACATCCCTTTTTCTTTTCGTTTTGGATGGGACAACCATCTAAATTTTGAATAATAGAACATAGAGTGATTTTTTAGAAGCTTTGGAACTGCCCTTCCCTTCTATTCCTTTTCTAAAGTTATGCTTATATTTTACAGGGCCTAGAGACCATTCAGATCCTTGCTGATGCTTTGCCGAAGATTGTTCCTTATGTTTTGATCAACCATCGGGAGGTTTGCTTCTTTTACTTTTTCATATGTACATATATATTATATTTATATGTGTGTGTGTGTGTGTAAATATATTATTATTGTTATTATCATTGTATGTATGGATCTTTAAATTTATCCTTTAATAGAACGATATATTTTTATTTTTTTTATTGGTTATGCATTCACAGGAGCTTCTTCCCCTAATCATGTGTGCGATTGAACGCCATCCAGATAGCAGCACTCGGGATTCCTTAACCCACACATTGTTTAACCTAATCAAACGCCCAGATGAGCAGCAGAGAAGAATTATAATGGATGTAGGCTAATATTCAAAGTACCACATTATTTGTAATATAGCTGTGTTGTTTTGGACTTGTTTCTGAATCTTTAACTGCATTTCAGGCATGTGTTAACCTTGCTAAGAATGTAGGAGAGATGAGAACAGAAACAGAATTACTTCCCCAGTGTTGGGAACAAGTAAGTTTGAGCCCCACCTTGAGAGGATCTTGTCTAGCCTTTTCGTATTTCTGATTAGTTTTTCTTATGTTTCTCTGGTTTGTTGGTTGCAGATAAATCATATGTATGAGGAACGCAGGCTGCTAGTTGCTCAATCATGTGGAGAGCTTGCAGAGTTTGTCCGGCCTGAGATTCGTGATTCTCTTATATTGTCCATTGTTCAACAACTTATAGAAGATTCTGCAACTGTTGTCCGGGAGGCTGCTGCACATAATCTTGCATTGCTGCTTCCACTCTTCCCAACCATGGACAAATATTTCAAGGTCAGCCTCACTAATATGCTTCAGAGGCTCTCATGGAGAGGAATTCTGACTTGACAGAAATGGCTACAATGTAAGCTCTAGAACAGGTTGATGTCACATGGTCTAGGGAATGGAGAATTTTCTCCTCATAATATGATGACTGACAAGAAATAAATGGATAAAGTAGTCAAGGATCTTCTCCAATATTTTACTGTATTTTTATTTATAGGTCGAGGAGTTGATGTTCCAATTGGTCTGTGATCCCTCTGGAGTGGTGGTGGAAACGACGCTTAAGCAATTAGTCCCTGCAGTAAACAAGTGGGGAAACAAATTAGACCATATCTTAAGAGTTCTACTCTGTCATATATCAAGCTCTGTTCAGGTCGGTTTCTGTTTGATTATATTTTCCACTTATGACTAAGGTATTTCTAATGATACTTTCTTTAATTTGCATCCTTGTGACATTGTAGCGCTGTCCTCCTCTTTCGGGCGTCGAAGGTTCTGTGGAGTCACATCTTCGTGTTTTAGGTGAACGAGAACACTGGAATGTTGATGTTTTACTACGAATGCTAGAGGAAATTCTTCCGTATGTGCACCAGAAAGCAATTGAGAAGTGCCCAGTTTCTTCTGATCCCGAAACAACTGGAACAATATTTTCCATATCTTTCCTTGAATTGTATGCAGGGTAAGCTCTTTTCTCTTTTTTCCTTTTTTTTTATTTTACTTTGTTATATATTCTTTTTTCAGGCCTGTCTACTATTTTCTGACAGAACATAGCCGTTTGACTTGTGTCTTTAGGTAGTGATATTGTTAAATTGATTTACTATTACTGCTTATGAGAATTTTGTTATCTCGGTAGTGGACATATTCAATTGCCTGCATTTGAGTGGCTACATGTCGACTGCTTTCCTGCTTTAATACAGCTCGCATGCTTGTTACCTCCAAAAGAGGACAATTTGCGAAACCAAATCACCAAGGTATCTTTCTCTGTCCTTGGTGTCTTTTTTATATTACATCATCAACAATACTTTATTAATTGTTTCTGATCTAAATGTTGGTAATGCAGTTTCTATTGGCTGTATCAGAACTCTACGGGGATTCTTATTTGACACACATAATGCTGCCTGTATTCTTGTTAGCTGTTGGGGAAGAAGCTGAATTGGCATTTTTCTCATCTGCAACGCATTCCGGAATCAAAGGTAATAACCTTAAAGTTACTTGAAATCCTTTCACACCTGTGTTGTGTGTGCTCTTAATTGTGGATATTATCTAAATAACAGGTTTAAGGCCAAGAACGGCTGTGGCTAAGAGATTGGCTACTATGTGTGTCCTACCTCTTCTCTTGGCCGGGGTTTTGGGAGGTCCAAGCAAGCACAAACAATTAGCGGAGTACCTGAGAAAGTTATTAGTTGTAGGTGTTCCAAATCAATCTACGAAGTGCAATGCTGAGATTGTTGATGCTGTTCGCTTCCTTTGGTTAGTAAAGCAATAAATACCTTTTACGATTAACTTTTTGTAACTTAATTTTGACTGAATGGCTTTCCATAATGCAGCACATTTAAAGATCATCACGGTATGATATTTAATTTACTCTGGGAAATGGTTGTCAGCTCCAACATAGATATGAAAATAAATGCTGCCAATCTGTTGAAAGTCATTGTAAGTCTATCCATTCTTGGAGTCCTAATTTCTTTATGCGTCTGATTAAGAAATAATTAATTGGTTTCCTTCCTTTATAGGTTCCATATATCGATGCGAAAGTTGCATCTACTCATATATTACCTGCCCTAGTTACCCTGGGTTCTGACCAAAACTTGAGTGTGAAGTATGCAAGCATAGATTCCTTTGGAGCAGTGGCCCAACATTTTAGAAATGACATGGTATGAGTTCTCTACCTTCTGCAATTAAGATATTAGCTTACTTAATCGAACAGTTTTCATACATCTGGCTGACCAAAATAAACCTCCCAGATTGTTGATAAGATACGTGTTCAAATGGATGCTTTTCTTGAAGATGGATCTCATGAAGCTACCATTGCTGTGGTTCGTGCATTAGTGGTTGCTGTACCACATACAACGGATAGACTTAAAGATTATATCCTCTACATGCTTACTGAAAATTACTAGTAGCACATTTTCAGCAACGTGTTCATAAGCACACACACCTTATTTAGTTGGTTGGGAAATTTTCTATTGGATTCATTATTGAATAATCATTGGGTTACTTTGTTTCTTTGACATCATGTACATCTTTTGTCCAAGATTTTTCAACTGACGGCCACTCCACCTTCAAGTGACTTGATGCGCCGGCGTGAGAGAGCCAATGCGTTTTGCGAAGCAATCCGTGCTCTGGATGCAACAGGTTTTTTTTTTCTTATGACTCAGATGTTCTCTGTTTTGTTAGTTTATTAATTTCTCTTCCCTTTCTGCACCGTTACACATCTTGAGCTACATTATCTTTCACTTCCTTTGTATATATAGAACATGACACTTGTACACTTCTTGGGAACATGTAAAAAAAATTTGGTCTGATTACCTAGATTATTTTCAGACTTAAATACGTTATGCATTTTATCAAAGAGAATTGTATGCATTTTTTATCCCTAATTTTACTCTAGACAAGGTTATGTTTCTTTAGCATGCAAACAAACATCAAATATTAAACGACTATAATGTTAATATAATACACAGATCACCAGTTCTTCAAAGTTTTTGAGCCGCCATGCTTGAAACCATATGTTTATGTAAAAACAAGATGCTTGAGTCAATATCCCTAGATCATATCAGTTTTCACTTTAATGACCTTATGTACATAGTTGGAACTTTACAATCATGTGTCGAAACTAGTTTTTGGTGGCGCCCTAACAAATCGCGCCATGCCAAACTGTAGCTTCATAGGATTCTTAACTGATTGGTGATGACCTACTATTATGTTAAAACAATGACCTAGCGTTATAGTTTATATTCGTGACCCTATGTTCCAGAATTTTCAGCTTTTGTAATGTGTTGCTGATATTGATTTTAAATGCACGTAATTAATCCAGATATTTCAGCAACTAGTGTTCGGGACTTTCTTATGCCTGCGATACAGAACTTATTTAGAGACTCTGATGCGCTTGACCCTGCACACAAAGAAGCCCTTGAAATTATAATGAAGGAGAGATCTGGTGGAACTTTTGATACTATCAGTAAGGTGATGGGGGCTGGGCTTGCATCCTCTGTGAGTAGTTTCTTTGGTGAAGGTGGTCTACTGGGAAAGAAAGAAAGTCCTGAGGCACCACCAGAGCCTGTTGAGTCCCCAAAGGCCGCACCGTCACCACCTACAGAAGACACTAGATTAAGGCGAATAATGCGGGGAAATTTCACTGACATGATCAGAGGCAAAGCAAAGGGACCAGAGGAAACTCAGAACCAATAAAATTTGATTCGTCTCTGTAAGGGGTGGCAAGAGTATTTACTTTGCGTCTCGCTATCTCAGGTGAGGATCATCCAGTTAATACAAACATTTTTTTTCATTTTTTGGTGCACTCGTTGAGAAAAGGGTTTTCAAGAAAGGAAGAGCAATACTTTGCTGCATTTTTTGTGAGTTTCATTACATGATCCGATGGACGGCGGATTTGGTTCGAGTCCCATCCAAAATCCAATTTGTTGTTTATTCCTTTTCTTTCTTTCTTCTTATAGGCAGTTAAAATTGTACAAGTTATGAACAATATATAGGTAATTTGATGGCACTGTGTTTAAATAATGGAACCAAAGCATTTTCCTACATTTTTTAGTTTAAACTTATTATAGGGTGTGACTTTAATTTTATGTACCATTCAATACTATGGGTGTTTAGCCGTTAAATTTGATTTACACAGCTATTTCAGTTATTCATTCCTGTATTATTGACTAATACGTTCTAATATTAGGAATGGTTGTAATAACATAATAGTATACTCTCTCTTTGATTGTTGTTGAGTTGAAAATTTTGGTATCCCTTCAGCCACAGTATATTGTAGGCTTGGTAATTTCTTAAGACCCGTTGATCATGTACAAAATGACACAAAAATAACAGATTTCGAGTCAATCTGTTAACGAGTCGGGTCGTTATCGAGTATCCGTTAAGAACTTGTTAACAAGTTGGGTCCTTAACAAGCTTTAAGCATGTATAAAACATCTTTGCTTTTGAGGCCTCAGTTTGCTTCTCTGCCCCCAATTTCTCTTCTAAAATCAATGCCATATCAAGCTTAAGCATGCGTAGTTCCTGTCTCACAAGTTCCAGTTCTCTCATCACTTCTGTACATTTTTTATTGTCCACATCCCCAATAGCCAATACCTGATCTTCCCGCGTGCCAACGCGCCTTCGCGATTTCTTTAGTACTTGAATCTCTCGCGTATGTGATTTCGCCTTGGAGCTTGATTCCCCAATTACAGTAGACAAATCTTTAGCTCTCTTCATTGCATCAAGCATCACGGATTGCGCTTGTGCTCTTAAGGCGTCTGTGTCCGTTCCGTTTTCTTTGAATCGACCTATTTCCCTGAGTGCCATATGGAGTTCTCTCACTATTGCAGAAGACTTGACATGAAATTTGTAGACAGACAGAGAGACAAAAGGGAGATCAGAAGCAATGCAGATGGTTTTTGGCTTACATAGTGAATAAAACTAAAATTATGAAATGGGATTTTTCCATTGTTTCAAGAGTTTGGTTAAGAAAATTCAACTCTTTGCATTTGAGGTTCCAAGTTTGATTCTCTCCTTCACCTAACATCGCTCTTATAAAAAATTAAAAATTTTCGGGGTCCATCGGGGAGATCTTGTGGGACGGACTAGCTTCAAGAATCCTATCTTCTTCATACAGATTGTTGGCTTTTCTAAATCTTCTTCTGTTATCAAACTCTACTCACATTCACCTGTTTACCACTCTATTTATCATGCACCACAATTTCTGTCAAATTCTTCATAAATCCACCCAACTTTATTGTTCAAATTTGAATAAAATTTCTAAGCAAAAACTAGAATCTAATTAAACACTCTTCATCAATTGTAAGAATTTCAACTATTTATAAGCACATGCAAGGTCCCTTCTTTTTCCAACGTGAGATTCAGTTTCTGAACAAAATGCAAGTAATAAAACTAACATCTTCATATATATATATATATATATATGTGTGTGTGTGTGTAATATATAAATATTATTTCTTCTATTCTTAGAGACAGAAAGCATGAGATTAGGAATTTAAAAACTTACAAATAATTGAGGTGCATGGGAGTGGCTGCGATTTTTGGAAGAGTGAGATTTTTGCTTGGAAGGCAGAGAGAGAGAGAGAGAGAGAGAGCAAACTTTGATATTTGTCACAGTTTTAATTTTATTCCGATTTAAAGAGGGGAGAAAGATAAAGAGGAAGGACTGGCTTTGGTTCTGTCCTCAATCCAACTCCTGATGATTGGCTGCTATTGGAACTACCGCCATCCGCCACCCATCTGTTTTACTCTTTTCTTCCCCCATTTTGAATGTTGCTTTCAAATATTCTTTACTTCACAACTTCTTTTTAATTTTATTTAAACTAAAATGAGACATACATTGGATTTTGAATCATACATATTAAATAAAATTTTTATTTTAAGAATAATATAAAGTGGAAATTCCCAAATCAGATACAAGATTGACTATTTTTTGTAGAAGTATTGAGAAGGGAAAATCAAACTTAAGATCTCCAGTATAGAGGTGAATGCTCTTAATTAACTAAGTTACAAGCCTCTTAGAACATTCAACCTAAAATGCTAAAATGATTAGTTAAGTTATACAACACTTTTAATGTTTTTGTGAGGAGAAATTGCAAAATCAATTCGTGAAATAGTGATTTCAAGTGCTGCAAAAACTTGAATTTCTTTGATACAATAATGTATTTATATTAAGGGATAAAAATTTAAGTTAAGCCACATAATAAGTTTGTCATATTAATTTGGTACTTATTATTCACGAGAATCGAATTAAGAAAATTAGGGATAATGTACCATAGGTTTTTCCAACATGTTCTTTTTATTCGGCAGAGAATTCATTACTTCTTGTTGCCCGACTCCGTTAAATACACACATTTTTTTTTAATTGGATCAGACTTGGACCACTCATTTGGATAAGGAAAGTGCAATCCACACATTCAATTTTATCTCTTACACACTCTTGTTATCATTGATATTCTTAAATTCATTCAATCCGACAAACAAAACTTGAGAGATATGTGAGAAGTAAAAAATGGTCTACAGATAGCACTACCCATGGATAATAATGGCAAAATCCGACCATCTAATTAAAAAATTTTGGTCATAGCTTCTTCAAAAAATTTCACCAAATAATGTAATAATTTACACTAAATTCATCTAAACTAAAGAGTGAGAGAGTTTAAATCCGAAATGTCACATCTCGGCCCGGGCCTCCACCATATTCCCGGCCCGACTCCACCGTAGCACGATATTATCCGCTTTGAGCCCCCTACCACATCCTCACGGTTTTGTTTATAGGAACTCACACGAGAACTTCCTAGTAAGTCACCTATCCTGGGATTGCTCTTGCGCGCTACACGCTTAACTTCGGAGTTCCTACGAAACCCGAAGCCAGTGAGCTCCCAAAAAACCCTGTGCTAGGTAGAGATGGGAATACATGTATAAGGCTTACATTGATATTCTTCAATTCATTCAATCCGACAAACAAAACTTGAGAGATATGTGAGAAGTAAAAAAGGGTCTACAGATAGCACTACCCATGGATAATAATGGCAAAATCCGACCATCTAATTAAAAAAATTTGGTCATAGCTTCTTCAAAAAATTTCACCAAATAATGTAATAATTTACACTAAATTCATCTAAACTAAAGGGTGAGAGAGTTTAAATCCGAAATGTCACATCTCGGCCCGGGCCTCCACCATATCCCCGGCCCGACTCCACCGTAGCACGATATTATCCGCTTTGGGCCCCTACCACATCCTCACGGTTTTGTTTATAGGAACTCACACGAGAACTTCCTAGTAAGTCACCTATCCTGGGATTGCTCTTGCGCGCTACACGCTTAACTTCGGAGTTCCTACGAAACCCGAAGCCAGTGAGCTCCCAAAAAACCCTGTGCTAGGTAGAGATGGGAATACATGTATAAGGCTTACAGGATCCACTCCCCTGGACGATGTGGGATGTTACAATCCACCCCCCTTAGGGGCCCGACGCCCTCGTCGGCACACTTTCGGCCAGGGATTGGTTCTGATACCAAATTATCACATCCCGACCTAGGCCCCCATCACATCCCGGGCTCGACTCCATCGTAGCACGATATTATCCGCTTTGGGCCCCGACCATGCCCTCATGGTTTTGTTTCTGGGAACTCACACAAGAACTTCTCGGTGGGTCACCCATCTTGGGAATGCTCTCGCCCCACTACACACTTAACTTTGGAGTTCCTATGGAACCCGAAGCCAATGAGCTCCCAAAAGGTCTCGTGCTAGATAGAGATGAGAATACACATATAAGGCTTACAGGATTCATTCCCCTGGACGATGTGGGATGTTACACAAAATGTAGTAAATTGAAGAGAAATGCTCTAAGACAATCTGCCACTTGCCTTCAAAGTTAATTCTTGGTTTTCTTTGAGCTAAATAGTAGTTCTCACTTAGGGCCACATAGATTAATTAATATGATTAGTGCTTTATATGCATTGCAGGCATCTGTATTATATTTTGTCATCAGCATGTGTTCATTCTACATATAATGCGTTTGTATGGTGAAGCGAACTTAACTACGAATGTGTTAGCTAATTTTGGCTTTTAAGACTCTGGCTCTAGAGCTTACATTGATTCTTTCAGCTCTAGTGCTTTCAAATGTTCCATTCATATGCTTGTTTGGCCGTGCTTTCGAGATTCTAGAAGAAGTTAAGATTACAGGTAAATCAATTTAGAATAAGAGGTGTGATCTAACTCTTTACAAGTCATTGCAAAGTTTGATCTTTCTCTATCGCGTGATCTACCTTTCACATCCTCATAGATTTCCCTTCATGCTTCAAGCTTTGTTTGAAGAAGCACCTCTGCTTAAAGGGTTCCAGTTCTAAGACCATTGTCAATTTTTAATTGGGTACAATACAACTACTGCATTATGCATAAGCTAGTACATGTGTTCCAGAGCTGAACTCTACTCTACTGTTAACGCCCCCCAACACCGCCCCCCGCCAAAAAAATAAGTATTTCTTTTGCATTGAGTTTTTGGTTATATTTTTTATACAATGATATATTTATATACACTAAGAAAAGTAAATTACTATCGAACTTGTCGTTAAAAAGATTCTAATCTGAAACTTACTTTTCATTAAAAAGATTCTAACCTAAGATTTATCGAACTTGCCAATAAATTAGTGTCGAACTCACCATTACAAAAATTTTGGAATCTTTTGTCATGTTTTATTTTAGGTTAGAATGTTGATAGTTAAGTTGTTTTCAGATTTCCTTAATTGTCTTTGTATTGTCTTATATGACAAGTTTAGGTTCTGGATCCATTAAGGTCTCATATGTCCTTGTAATAGCCATGTGTCATCATCATATTGATGACCTACTATGTACGGCTAAGATTGGATTTAGTGCTTAAAAGAATGAAAAGGAATGTTGGTTTTATTCTCTGTAAAGAAACAGAGCAGTCGCATTATTCCATCAGTGAAAAGAAAATTGCAGAAAGCTTTTCTTTTTCCCAGTGAGTTCAGTTTTCTTCCTTCTTCTTCATACTTCAACCCAGAAATTAAACACTCCATCCATAAACTTCAACATGGTATCAAGAGCACAGGTTTGAATTTAAATCTGGGCGTTGTGAAATCGCGAAGTTGAAAAGGGGAAATCAACGAAATACCCCAATCTCTGTCGATTCAAACTCAGATGGCCGGAGCCGGAGGTGGTGAGCTACGAGCTCCCATTTTCAATGGAAGTAACTATGATTTCTGGATGATCAAGCTGCGTACGATCTTCATCTCGCAGGATCTCTGGAGACTAGTTGAAAAAGGGTATGAAGAACCTGAGAAGGATGAGAATGAGCTTACAGCAGCTGAAAAACTAGCACTGAAGGACAATGTCACTAAAGATGCAAAAGCACTAGGACTGATTCAAAATGCAGTCTCAGATGATATCTTTCCTCGCATAGCTCAACAGGTAACCTCCAAAGCTGCTTGGGATATTTTAAAATCAGAATTTGTTGGTGATAAGAAAGTAAGATCTGTGAAATTGCAAGGGCTTAGGAGGGAATTTGAACATCTTAGAATGAAGGATGATGATTCTTTATCTGGGTATGTATCTAAACTGTTTGAGCTTGTGAATCAAATGAGGTCATATGGGGAAGAACTTTTTGATCAAAGAATTGTACAAAAGCTTTTGATTAGTCTACCTAGGAGCTATGATTCGATTGCAGAACTTATAGAGGAAACCAAAGACACAGATACGATTAGTGTGCAAGAAGTTGTGGGTTCCTTGAAGTCACATGAACAAAGACTACAAAGGCATGCTGACTATGGCTCAGAGAAGGCTTTTTCATCCTTGAGTATCAATCCCAGAGAAGGACCAAGTTCCTCATATGGGGGTAGCTCAAAATTCAAGAATAATTGGAAGAACAAAGGCAAGAAAATGGATGTAAAATCTGCAAATGTCCCAAAGAAGGAGAATCAAGGTGAAGGAACAAAGATTTCCTGTGTTCACTGCAACAAACTACATTATGGAACCTGTTGGTTTAAGGGAAAACCCAAGTGCCATAAATGTGACAGATTTGGTCACTTGGCAAAGGACTGCAGAAGCAAAATTGTACCTGCAGCAAATTATGCAAATGAAGTAGAGGAAGAGGGAACTATGTTTTATGCTTGTCACTCAGCCTCTGTGGTAAAAAATTCTAGTGTATGGTATGTGGATAGTGCATGTAGCAATCATATGACTGGCCATGAATCCCTCTTGATTGAAGTGAACAGAAATGTGACAGCCAAAGTTAAGATGGGTACTGGTGACTTAGTTCAATCTGTTGGAAAGGGAACATTGGTCATTGACACCATACACGGAAAAAGATACATAAAGGAGGTCATGCTAGTGCCAGGACTAGATGAAAACCTCTTAAGTGTAGGCCAAATGGTTGAACATGGGTACTTCTTGGTATTTGGGGATTATCTTGTTGATATCTTTGAAGACAAAACCCTTGAGAACCTCTTGGCAAGGGTGTAAATGACCAGCAATAGGTGTTTCCCTATGACACTTAAATATGGAAATGAAGTAGCTAGAAGAGCAACTGTTGAAGAATCCACCTGGAACTGGCATAGGAGATATGGGCATCTGAATTTCCAAAGTCTAAAAGCTCTACAACAAAAAGAAATGGTTTATGGGCTACCTGAGATAAAAGATACATCCAAAGTTTGTGAAGGGTGTGCTATGGGTAAAGCTCACAGAGAGGTATTTGACAAGGAGAAAGC